AATACAGTTATAGTTACAACAATATACACACATCCAACTCTTGATTTTCTCATCTTTTCATTAAAGAAATCATACAGTCATAGTTACAACAATATACACACATCCAACTCTTGTAATACTACCAATTCAACATGTCCTCAGTTCTCAGTGAAGAAGCTCTGTATGACTAACAACACAAACATGTCCTCCGTTCTCAGTGCAGCAGCTCTGTATGACTAGCAACATAAACATGTCCTCCGTTCTCAGTGAAGCAGCTCTGTATGACTAACAACACAAACATGTCCTCCGTTCTCAGTGAAGCAGCTCTGTATGACTAGCAACACAAACATGTCCTCCGTTCTCAGTGAAGCAGCTCTGTATGACTAGCAACACAAACATGTCCTCCGTTCTCAGTGAAGCAGCTCTGTATGACTAACAACACAAACATGTCCTCTGTTCTCAGTGAAGCAGCTCTGTATGACTAACAACACAAACATGTCCTCCGTTCTCAGTGAAGCAGCTCTGTATGCAGCCAACTGAGGATTTATATCACCTTTGTCGTACACAAGACGAGAAAGAAAACTTACCTCTTCTAGAACGTCGGCTATCTTGATTAAAGTTCTTTCACTGAGCTTTCTGAATGTTGGCACACTAGAAATATTTAAAACATCTTACTGCAGTCTTGATTAGTAAAAGTGTATAAAGGATATTATCTATATTTTGTCCAAAGTTTTTAAAACTACTTCACCTGACAAAAAAATTAAGTTTTTCTTTTTTAATACAGAACGATTTTTTCCTACAATTTTGGAAACATTCTATTTTCTGGGTTTTTATTCTTAGACCTATGATTACTTAACCCTAGGAGTAAGGAGCATATTAATTTTATAGGAGTTTCATATTTTTTTACCTCTTCAGGAAGTTGGAGTACTCTGCTTGTCGTACCAGTCCCGTTCTCATCATTATTGTCTGGAAACAATGACGTTCAATAGCCCACAACTTACAATCCATTATGGCTGAATAGAAATACAATTTACAATCCATTATGGCTGAATAGAAACATAACTTACAATCCATTATGGCTGAATAGAAACATAAGTTACAATACATTATGGCTGAATAAAAACATAACTTACAATCCATTATGGCTGAATAGAAACATAATTTACAATCCATTATGGCTGAATAGAAACATAACTTACAATACATTATGGCTGAATAGAAATACAATTTACAATCCATTATGGCTGAATAGAAACATAACTTACAATCCATTAGATATCAGTATATTTGTATATGATAAGTCCTATAGTATGAGTATATTTGTATATGATAAGTCCTACAGTATTAGTATATTTGTATATGATAAGTCCTACAGTATGAGTATATTGTATATGATAAGTCCTACAGTATGAGTATATTTGTATATGATAAATCTTACAGT